AATTCCTTAAGCTTGAGGTTTATATCAAACAAAGCAGTCTTTCCATTTTGTACATGTGAGATTCTGGGTTCAGAACACATAGCTGATGCTCAGTAAATCACTGCTGAATAAACAAATTAATAAATATCTTTTCAAGCAAGCATACAATTGCAATAAAACTCTTCCTTACAGTAAGGAAAACATTCTTTATTCTACTCAAATCTACACGAAACCCTTCCCTCTTAGGATACGCTTTCAAATATTCCTGATTTCAGGGGCACTTTGTGATTTGTCCTTCTGCATTCAGAATTGTCCTGAGTTCAAAGAAAAAAAAAAAAGATCACCTCCATCTGGTGGAATATCAGCTACAACAAGACCCAACAACTTAAATCGAATTGCAAAATAGCGTTCAAACATGCCTTTACTTGTATTTCTATATATTCTGGCCACTTGCATAATTCCTTCTGATGTAAAAGTGATAGGATCTGAAAAAATGAGATGATAATAGTATCTATCTCACAGGACTGCAGAGACTTGAATGACATAATGCATGTAGAATTTAACCCTATGCCCAGATCACAGTTCGTGCTCAATAAGGTAGCTGCTATTATTATCATGTGTTCTTGCTACTGTTGTTATAGGACATGACTGATTCGCTAAGCTGTTAGGCTAAGCTGTTAGCTGGCTCCTCCTAATTCCCCAGCCAAAGTATCCTTTGCTAGTGTCTTCCTTATTTTCAAAAAGGACACAGTCTGAGGGTGACCTACTAGAACTTTTGTTTTCAGAGGTTCCTCCTCCCTCCCCCTCCCCCAAGGCAGTGTTTTTGCCTTTTTCTTCTAAGCTTGGAACACCTTTCTCCAATGAAACCATATGCAGAAAACCTCAATTTATAAAGCAAATAAAATGGGAGCAGCTCCAGTTAAAGCTAGGGAGGGAGATCCAGAAAATCCTACCCAGATGGACTTCTCCTTATTCATCATCCCCTACCCTCCATCACCTAAACCCATTTCCACTGTCCTGGGGGCTAAAATTGTGATTGACTTGGAGTGCAAAGGGGATTAGTGTTTAACATCTCCAAAGCTTTAACACTTCAAATCCTTAATTTTCTGTCCTTCACCCTCCCAGCATTTCACTGTCTTAAAATTGCTAGAGTCCTAACCGTGGAATCCCAGTATCCTGGGGTTTATGGCATTCAGTGGTATAAAATTGCAAAAAGTCCTAATCTACAGAGGTTTAAAGACACTGAAACTCCAGAGCATCAACAGTTATTAACTCAAAACCAAGCATTTTCCCTCATTTCTTTTGCCATCTTATTGCATATGTGCAATTGTCTAGTGGGAGCCATTTGGGTCCTACCTCCACCTCTTTTCCCTGTCTTGAAATGGCAATATCCTCCTCACCTCCACTCCAAATATATTAGGTTGTTGGAATTCCCTGTATGACCCATCAGTTATTGCTTTGCCCATCTTCCGGCCTTTGTAGAATCCTCAAATCAAATACACAAACTCAGGTACTAACTGCAGAGTAAAATTTCATGCCTTTCTTCCCAGCTCCATCTCACCAGCCCTACCACTTTTCTAGAATCTTTCCATACTCCAACAATTTAAGATTCAATTGGTACAATGTGAATCTCTCTTATTCATCTATTCAAGCACTCTCATTGCCCACTACTGGGCTGAGAACAGCAGTTCTCACCTCCATCCACTCAAACCTCCTCAGGTTTAAATCCTAGCAATTACTACTTGTGTAACCTTGGTAAGTAATTTAACCTTTCGGTGGCTCAGTTTCCTCATTTGTAAAATGAGGACAAGAATAACACCTACTTCATAGTGTTAATGTGAGAATTAAAGAAGATAATATGTATGTAGTGTTCAAAACCAAGGATGGCATCTAATAATTTTCTAATAAATGTTAGCAATAATAGCAACAGTAATATTTTTATTATTACTTGGTTGATTATTCCCTAATACTTTCATTAATTAAGTCCCCAAATTGTAAATTGTGGATCACTAGGAATCTCTTTAAGTGTATGGGAGTTTTTAAGATATTTGGATGTTTTAAAAGTCATAAAATAAATTTTATAAATCTAATTAAAATATCACATTTCCTTTGAACTAGAATATTTCAACTTGTGATTACTTTTGGTATCTCACACTGATCAAAACTTCTAAGCAGTAGTTACATTTTTTTTATTTAATAAAGAATGAGAAAATAAACTATCATTTAATAAGTTCAGTTTGATGGGTATAATTAGTCATAACCTGAAGTTCACAAAGAAAAATAAAAGGATACTTGGTGGTGAAGTTGGGAACCATTCTCTTTGTAATAACAAAAGCACAGTAGTGTAGATTCCTAAAGAAACCATCTTCAAGCCAACAAGGTGCCACACTGACTAGCTTTGTGACAGCCTGGTGTACAGCTAAATCTTTCCATGGGTATCTTTACAAAATCAAAACTTAAATTCACTTAAATAAAAAAATCTGTATCAAGTAGCACTTTTTGACATAGGGCTGTCAGAAATCAAACTCACATAGATGGGGGTTAAAACTCCTAATTCTCTGGCATATTAGGAATGGTGTGCCAAAACAGTCAACATGGGTCAATTTGATTTTTATGCTAACCATTTAATTACATTCATTCTTATTATCCTTCCATTTCAGTTAAATTGAAGCCAGATTGCTGTAGGAAGAACATTTGTTCCTGATGGAAATTTTGTTTATTCCAAACCTCAGTCTCTCAGATGGTACAAAGAAATAATGCATTATCAGGGCTCAGGGGAAAAGAGATCATCCAGTTTAACTCCTTCTTTACAGATGAGAAATCTAAAGGCTAGAGGCTAGGAGGGATATGCCTATGATGACAGCTCAT